AGGATTAAACCTCTCTGGCCTGGAAGGCAACCAGCAACTGAGTAAAACTTCTAAGGTAAGCGGCCTGCTTCGACTAACTGCTTCCTCTCTCTCGCTTGGCAAAAAGCCACAACTTAAATACTTGGCGTTCGCCAGACAAACTTTGCATAAATAAGTTAACGCTTATAATTCTGGCCGGAAGTAGAAAATAAGAAGTGATAGTAAAGATTTAAAATAAAATAAACGTTAGTAAAACTTAAGATCCTTACAATGTACACCATTTCTTTACATTTCCTTAATTCTCAAAACTTTTTATTGTAACTTTTCGTAACTTTTCTCCGAAACTTCTTTTAAACTTCCTTTTGTTTTTTTAGATACGTCTTTTAATCACCTCAACATCATCCCTATTATTACTTGCATAATCAGCATCTGAATAAAAATATAAATTTAGATGTTTAATCTTCGATAAATTTATATAATTTAGTACTATTGAGATAACCAAGCAATTTCAACAATGCTTCCCAATGCCTTATTCCAGGATTCTCCTGAAATTGTGATAAAATATTCACTGCATATGTAATATCAGGCCTTGTCCTATTAGATACAAAAACTAAACATCCCAACAGATTTCTAAAGGGTAATGTATGCATTCCCGCAATTTCTGCACTTGTAGATGGACAATCTAATTTTGTAAGTATAGTGCCTTTAGCTATGGGAAGTGAAGTTACTGGTATCTGGAAATGTTTAAATTTTTCAAAAATTTCTTCGATATATTTTTGCTGATGTATAAAAACCCCATTCTCATTCTCTAAGAATTCAATTCCAAGTACGTTTTAGTTTTGCCTAATACTTAAAGATAAAAAATCTTACTCAGCTGCGAAATTACTTTATCTATACTATATTGATCTTTACTAAAAAATCACAATATCATCTACATATAACAAGAGAATTACATTTGAACTCTTATAAACACAATTACACCATTGTATTTTCTTAAAATGAAGATTTTCCAAAGTACTTTCAAATTCACAAAAACATTCACGGCTGCTTTGATGTAGACCGTAAATGGCCTTGTGTAATAAACACACTTTATTTTCCTCTTCAATAAATCCCTCTGGTTGGGTCGTATATATTTTTTCATTTAGGTTTGCATATAAATATGCATTCTTTGCATCTAACTGACAATTAGTCCATCCATATAAACATACTAGTATAGTGAAAAATATTCTTATGATTGAAAAATTTACTACAGGACTGTAAACGTCATCAAAATCTTCACCTCTTTTCTGCCTGAATCCCTGTGCTACTAAACGTGCTTTGTATCTAACCACTTGATTCTTTTCATTTCTTTTTAGCGTATAGACCCATTTGTTTTCAAGCATAGTTTTATTTTCTGGCTTTTTGACTAATTCCCAAACTTTTCTTTTTTTCATTCATTGCCTTATCCCATTCTTCGGCATTTACTGATTTTCGTGCTTCTTTAAAATTTTGTGGGATAACAATTTCTACAGAATTTGCCTCTTCAGACACGGAGCTAGTCTCCTGTTCTACAAAATTAACTTTTCCTGAGTATTCGTTTTTTCCACTAAAATCAAACTTATCTTTTTCAAATTTAATATTTCTTGCCTCACAATACTTTTCAATATCATTATAGGGTCTAAAAGGGGTGTCTGTTCCCTCTACATAATAATATATGTCTGTACGTGTTCCGTCTGGCTTTTTAACTGCTTTTCTTTGCCAGTTTAAGTCTGATACTTCTTTCGGCGTAGATTTGTCATCTGACAACTTTATTTATTCTCTAGAAGTTTCCTGTTCTTCATCTGATTCTGCTACTAGCTCAGATTGCTCTAGTCTTTTAAACTTAGTTTTTGATTTCTGTTCCAGGATGCCATTTGCTGCATTGTTTTTCATCGAACTTCACATTAAAGGTTTCTATTAATCTGCGTTCTTCTGGTAGCCCTAGTTTCCTTCCCATATCCTACCATGATTCCTTCTTTGCACCTCATTTGTAATTTATTTCTAATCTGTTTTGGCACGCCAACATAGCTTTACAACCAAATATTTTAAAATAAACAACACTGGGGTTTCTATTTAGGAACATTTCATAGAGGGTTCGGTTGCTTTTATGACATACTCTATTCCATGTATGTACGAAACAGCCAAGAGTTTCTGCCCACCATTCTTTAGCATAGCTTTAACTGTGTCTAATGCCGTTCGGTTAAAACGTTCACACACACCGTTCTCTTCTGGGGTGTATGCGTTTGTGCATTCAACACTAATTCCATTTTCGACTAAGTACCCTTCGAATTGCCTGTTACAGAATTCCCCACCGTTATCGGTGCGTATACTTATTAATTTTCTATTCGTCAGTCTTCCCATTTGCCTATGATAATTCTTACAGTTTTAGAACAATTCATTTTTATTTTTCATATAATACACTGTTACTAATCTACTATAGTCATTCACAATAGCAAGGAAATGTTTACTCCCACCCTTAGATGGAACTGGTAGTGGGCCACAAACGTCTAAATAAACCAACTGCACTGGTTTATCCGATCTCTTCGGAACAGTTTTAAAAGTTACTCTAAAAGATTTAGCAATAATACACGGTTCACACCTCTCCATTGGTTTTCCAATTTCTGGTAACCCTTTCATGCTTTGATTCTTACTAGTTTTTTTAATATAATCAAAATTTACATGGCTAAATCTCCGATGCCATAGCATCGCAACGTCTTTCCAATTTTTGTACTGTAACCAGCTTCCTTTTTATCTGTTGCATATTTAAATGGTGTTTTATGTGATAAAGTCTGTCATATCGTTTAACGTAGCATTATCTATCCCAATTATTAAAGTATATCCACATCTTCCCTTTTGAAATCACAAAATGAGCACATGCCTTTTCTAACCTTGCTCCCAATAGTAAATTTCTTCTTAGATTTGGTTTATATAACACATTATCTAAATTCAATTTATTCGATTGCCTACTTTTACTGCAAATTTGATGGTACCCTTTCCTAGTACTTTACTTTTACAATTTCCTACAGCTAAAGACATACGTATATTGATTATTTCTTCAAAATTTGTCATTAAATTTCTGTTATTACAGAAATGAGTTGTAGCTACAGTATCTACGACCCAATTAAATTTATCTGTTTTATCTCCTTTATCTGCAGTTGTTACCTAATTTTCTACTAACATTAATCCTTTATCTTTAAACTGTCCATTTTTATCATCTATTTTAAACTTCTGATTTTTACTTACATTTTCTTTACATTGAGCGAATAAATGTCCAAATTTATGACATCTGAAACAAGGTCCTATTCTCATATTCACGCGCATATATATTTTATATTCTGTATTACCTTGCTGTTTTCTGAATCGGCATTTACCTGGTGAAGTCGGCTTTCTTCTCTTACCAGTTATTCAGCAATTCTTTCCAGCATAAAATCTTCGTCCTTCCACCTATAGATCAACTGTACAATGCCGGAGTATTCCTGGGGTAATCTCCTTATTGCCTGAAATTCTTTAAAAAGATCTGCCAAGTTGTAACCAGCTTCAGCCAACTTTTTTGCAGTCATTCTTATCCTCGCGATGAATAATCCTATTTCTTCATTTGGCGTATATCTAATGCTAAAAATTTCATCCAGTAACTGAATTATCCTTGCTCTTGTTTTGGGTTCGAATTGCTTTTGTAGAACTTCCCATGCTTCTTTACCACTTGAACATTCTTGTATCAGCAGCCTGAACTCAGTTTTAATTCCATAATATAATGTAGTGAAGGCTCTATTCTCTCTCAGTGTGAATTCCTGCTTTTCACGCCTTGTTGCACTTTTATCTAATTCTTCTTCTTTGCCCTCTATGAAGCTCCAACAATTTCTATCCAGTAACAGCATTTTCATATCGACTTTCCATCGATCCCAGTCGTCATGGTTTAACAGCTCAAAACCTTCAGGTAGTAATGACATCTTCAATTAAGTGTGAGCACAACAACTTAAACAAACTTCTAAGACAGATCAGCTTCTTTTCGTGGATAACGGCACTCTTCACCTACATTCCTTCCATGCTGAGTTGAACTGGATGACCGATTAGCTGTTGGCGCTGGGCCCATAACCCTGTTGGCAGTGGCAATAAAGGCAAAGCATATTTTGCTTCCTTTAAATAAAGCTAAGACTAATCTAAATAAAATTCATGCTTTATTCCACAAATTTAAATAAAATAAGCTAACACTGTAGCCTTTACATTTAAAATCATTGAGTGAAAGAAAACTAGCATTATGCTAACTCATAATAACAAGACATCCGCTGATACCGGCGTACATATATATAATACTCGGCCAACCCGCCGATCTTGACGTCATCGGCCAATCAGCGGCATCCACGATAGCTTACCGCCAATTGACCTCCGATCAAAATTTACATAAGGAAAACTAAAGCCAACAAACACATATGTGCATGCGCAAACACATTATGAGTTTACGCATGCGCAGAAAGTTCGTAGCTTTGAGGTCCAGATTATGGATCATTCCAGCTAATGGACGTCCGGATTAAAGACTTTTGACTCAAAAGTCTTTAAGTAATATATATATATATATATATATGAAGAATGGTTGTTTCCAGCAATTTCATGTAATAAATATAAGCTAAATCACTGCCCCCAGACATAACCGATTAGTAAAAAATTTATGAAATGCTTGAAAACATAGATTATTTTCTTAATACGATTACAAATATTTTAAGCATTATTAAGACCTATTGTAACTGTCAAAATTTATGTTATATGCATTTCGTTTCTAAATTTCTTCACATGGTATACTTTAATTTTACTAATTTTTTATAGTATATTACGTGGCTGATATTTTTAAAACTAAATACTCTCACTAGATTTCCTCAGTAAGGCTCCCTTTTTTAACTTAGTTTGTCTGGATCAGTTGGTTCACTGGTATTTTTAACTCACTGTTTTCAGATGCGACTGAATTAATACAGCTAAATTGTTTTTATCTACAAAAATTTCTGGACAAAACCTTCAGCTAAAGTAATTTATTCATAATGAACAATGCTAGAAAAATTATGTATCATCCACATTAAGCAAAGGAAACATCTATGATGCGAAAAGCACACTTTAAAAAGTAACATTTTTAATATCAAAAGAATGAAATAGCTTACATATCCGATACTTTTATAAATACACACATACAAAAAAAAATGTAATAAAAACAATATACATTTTTTTGGTAAATTAATTTTGAGAGACTGTTTGCTTACATTATAGATCAGATAGGAAAAAATATTTGTTGCCCAGAATAACTTCTAGTCAAGTCTTAGCTCTTTCTCTCTTTCAACAGAAAGAGAGAGAAATAACTTTCCCCCTTGTACTATTTTTCTTGAAGCAAGAAGTTGTTTTTGAAAAGCAAAATAAATGTCTTTGAATTTAAAAATAAGTTTATGGTCAAACACCATAAACACTAATTATCAATAAAAAAATACAAATGTAAAATTTAATTTGACAATGTTCATTTAATAGTGAAACATGACTAAATATAACCAGTATTACTGACAACATACAGACTGAATATAAGTTCTCTAAAGTAACCAGCCCTGCAAAAGACTAAAATCTCTGGTATTATGAGTAACTGTCTCAGACAAAGTTTGTTGTCATTGTTTACAATGCAATAGTTGCCTATTACTTAAGAATTTGATGATTTGTGTAAGAAATTAAAAGAAAAGTCCATTAAATATATATTATAATGCAATATATATTCAATCGAAAAGCACAAATACTAAGATTGGAACAGCAACTACAAAACATATAAATTTTTAAATTAAAAATCATTACTCAAAATATAGAGAAGAGAATACAGATGTTCTTATAAATGATAATACATATACATAAATGAATACAATAAATTTTGACTCGAGCTTATGTATTTCGTATTCCCAAGGCTTGTTCGAGTTCAGCACGACGCTGATTAACTTTCCCATAGAAATAACGGCAAACTGCTTCTTGTGCCCATGGTTGGTAATAGAAGTCTGATCGTCTTTCTTCTTCAGGATTTCCGACTACATCAGTCATTATCTGCAGAACAACCAAACCACCACTTATTATCATACAGCAAAACAGTCAAAATTTACAAGAAAGATAGAAACTAAAGAAATACATTATTTCTATGAGGTATCTTTATACTTAATGTTAAAAAAAGCACAATCTAAGAGCTCATGAAACTGTTACCTTCAGATCTCTAGTCTGTGATATAAGCCATTTATAAATAAACTGCTGCGGTTCCTTGGCAAAGCTTAAGAAAAATTCTCTGTTTGTTTTCAATTGATTGATGGTTTCCACAGTTTCATGAATCTAATTATAAAAAAAATAGTTTTCAAGTATCAAAGAGAGAAAAACAATACATTTTATTTATAATAGTTTTTAAAATTCTGATAAAACACATTTTTACTTATCCTCATATCAATGAATAAAAGGAAGGGGGGAGGGAAAATTTTTAAATACAGAAAATTCACAAGAAAGAATAAAGAAATATATAATTCTTTTTTTTTGAATGACAGTTACAGAAGTATGACTCAATGGAAAATACAAATGCAAAGCCACATCTGCCTACTAATTTCCTTCATCATGATGTCAATACTAATATATACTAATGTTATTATGAAGCATTGCACCCAGTGGCTTCTCCCAGGAAGTTTTTCTCCAGCAACAGCAATTTGTTCATAAAAGTTTTTCATGCTCCTCGTTTTTTAATATGGCTGATTTAAGCGAATGTGCAGCTACGCGATGCTGTTTCTTGCTCAAAAATGCCATAGATGCAGAACACTGCTTAGGCACTGCTATATGAACAACTTGAGTGCATGAGAGGTTTTTCTCAGTTAAAAATAGGGAAATGTCAAATCAAACTTTCTTCTGGATGTCCGTTAACTTTATGAATGGACAAAAATGTCCAAAAAATTCATATACTTGCAACTGAAGGCCACAAACAGACCATTGAAGAGCTGGGGAACTTATCTGGACTACTCTGTAGTTCAGTTCAGTGAATTTTAACAAAAGCTTTTAGAATGAGAAGGGCGGCTGAAAAATTTATGCCTTGAATTCTGACCGCTGTGCTTTGAAAGAACAGCTCCAAAGCAAGCTAAACATTCTTCCCAAGATCATTACTGATGACAACACACGATGCTATTCTTATGATCCCAAAACTAAACATCAATTAAACCAGTGGAAGTCACCATTGTCATTTAATCCCCAAAAATGTATGTCAAATGAAATCAAACATTATGACCATGCTCTTTTTTTATGGGAGGAGGGTCGCATACTCACAGTTCATTCCACCAAATCAAGATTTCTAATTAGAGGTACTAAAAAAAAATGCGTAACAGTGTGCAAGAAAAGACTTGATTTGTGACAGATGGGGAAATTAACTATGACAATGCACCAGTTTTTTTTTGGGAAAAAATAGCATGACTCCCTTATTCCATGCTCCTTACTTATCTGACCTTGCTCCATGCGACATCATTTTGTTTCCTTGGATAAAGAGGAACACGACTGTGATTTCATGACATAGAAGAAGTGAAGGAAAAAAATGAGATAGTGTCAGCCATTAAAACAGACGAGTTCAAAAAATATTTCTAAGAATGGAATCATAGCTTGGACAAATGTATTAAGTATAATGGAGACTACTTTCAAGTTGATAAGATTGTTTGGTAAAATAATAATAATAAATACATAGAAAGAGCTCTTAAAAAAGAACTGCAGTTTTTTGGAGGACTCCTTCATATAGCTAATTCAAGTTGTAGAGACATTAAGTTATTTCAAAGCAGGAGACATGAAAAATGTGCAATGCCCTTGCCGGGACTCAAACCTTGAACCTCTCGAATATGCGCTGAGAATTACACCATGATGGCGGGAGAAATACCTTATATACTCTCCCTTTTAAAGGGCGACTAGTGTTCACGGGACCCAATCGCCAAATTCTGGTGGCAGAGAATCATCATTCACCACCTTTTTTTTAGTTCAGGCACCACTATAGAGACATTATGTTATTTCAAAGCAGGAGACATGAAAAATGTGCAGTGCCCTCCCCGGGACTTGAACCTCTCGAATACACGCCGAGCGTGCTGACGACGAAGGCATGCTAAAAAGGTGGGAGAAATATCTTATAAAGTAACTTGAAATGCAATACGTAAAAAAGTTAATTCTTACTTTATTGTCCAATGTTTGAATTTCTTGCTGACTAGCAGTTGACAGAAGAAAACTATTCATTTGAGATTTGAGTGGATCATCCTATTAAAAAAAAAAAAAAAAAAAAGGAGAGAGAGAGAGAGATGTTAGAAATAAATGCATAAATTTTAATCTATTTTACAGAAGAAGAATTATGTCAGAAGGCAATGTACTATATTCAAGAGAAACTGAAACAAACTGACTGAAGTGTTATTATGTTCTTGCAAATTAATCCACATGAAAAATATACCCCAAATTTTATTTCAAGAGCATCGCTAGAAATAATGACAAGAAACCACAAAACTAATTTCTAAAAAAATAAGGAGGGATAGAAAGAGGCAGCTTCTTTTTATAACTAAAATATCCAATTCTACTACTATTAATGATCATAAATATTCACATTCTTATATATTTTAAACTTTCTGCTTTCAATGTAAGCATTTTGTCGAACTTAAAAAGTTGACATTAATCCCAGCATACAACTTTGATCTATGTACTTTTGATTTAAATTATATGTTATAAATATGAAGTAAAAATTCTAAAAACTGACCACAATACAATCGTATAATTCTATCAAAAGAGTAATTACATTTCAAGCAAATACTGCTGCAATGAAACTGCACAAGAATGAAAAAATGGGAGCAAACATAAGTCACAGACGTAAATTTGCCTTTCAATATTCATATTTTGAAAAAGAAATCCAAAATCTCTGAAAAGGATGAATCCTGAATGATGAGAACAAACAGTTATGTAAATTTATAAGCCTATAACAGACACCTTTAAAAAACATTAATATACAAAAATATTAAGGTTTTCCAAACATTGTTAGCATGTGAATTGGGAGAGCGGGCTGCAATTTAATTAAAAAAATTCCATTTACAAAAAAGAAAGGCAAAAGTTATAAACAAGATCAGAATTATGCTCACTGTATTAAAATGACATATAATTCCTAGTATTAACCATATTGGAGGATGAATCTAATGATTCTGTTCCTGATTATTCCTGATATTATTCTGATTATAACAATTTAATATTATTTCAATTAATACAGTATGAGCCATAAAAGGCTGAGATTTTACCATATCACTATACTGTAATGGGATTAAATAAAGTAACAAATAACAGTAATACAAAATGAAAGCTCCAATTTTACAAACCATATACTGTATCCCCTCTTTGGGATATGATAAATGTTTAAACTTGTTGTCCAGTTCAGACAATCCCTTTTTATCCAGTACACTGTGCCTACCTCAAAAAGATAGGTGAACAAATATCGAGAATAGGTCACATTCTGCCTGGATCCTCCATCATAAGATTTGACATTTTTCATATAGGACATGAATTTCTTACTTTGCTGTGCTATATTACATTGTTTGTGCTACCTATTCATGATATTTACCATAATTATCACACAGATTGAATGGGAAAAACTCGACAAAAGATTCAGCTAGCTAAACTAAATATTGTAGTGATTCTTACCCTTTTTTATGATTGATTATCAATACCACCACCACAATAAGACAAATTTTAAATCCAGTTTACTATATCATTAGGATATCATCATTCGTGACACAGTGACTTGGATTTTGTAATTATTATACATCAGGCCACAGACTTCACATCATGAAGGTGGATTTTTTTTTAATCTTCAAAGTACCCCTCGCAAATGAAGCAACAAGATTAAAAAATCTGATGTGTACACCACATGACATCCTTGTACGAAATATTAAATTATATGCATTTTTTCCTGCATTTAATTTAAACTTACTTCCTTGAATTTCTTTAGAGATATATTTCTCGTTCAATTAATTCAGACCATTAGTCAGGAAATGGGCATGTTTGCAGCACACCCAGTATCAGTTTGTATGGCGTGTCGAAGTTTGCAGCAGCGTGGAACATCAGTATAGTGACCATTACTTTGGGTTCCCTTGACAATGCAGCATAGAGAGAGACTGTGACTCTCTCTAAGCTTGATACAGGAGTGGCATAATGTCTCTTTACAGACAAGTCCCGGTTCTGGGTGCAAAATTCTGATGGCTGCCTGGAGGCTCCGAGGAAACCTCATGTCGCCTGTTCGCATTCGTATTCAACTGCTGCCCTGGCCTGCACAGTCTCCAATGAAAACGTCTGGTCATGCATTCCGAGGACGGAAGCCGATAAGGAAGGACGTGCGTCTGACGCGCTCCCGCCAACTCAGCCGAGTTCAAGAAATTTTAGAAATTTTTTGCTAGATGATTTAATTGTTTCTTCAATGGATACTTTCAATACTTCGGATGTGCAATTGTGTGCTTCAGAGAGTACTCATACAGCTGATGAACCCAACCCTGATAAACCGATCGAAACTTATCATTGATTTTTATAGATTAAAAGCTCAGTTTGAAACAATTCAAACCCAGATGTAAACGGATGAAAGCATTTCTTCTTCGTTAAGGAGAAATTTAAATGTGTTTCTCGTACATGAGATCAAGAAACCGGTTCAAACTACTTTGGCTCAGTCACCCATTACTGCTTCTTGAAAACGAAAGACTGCGAGCGTTGATTCGGAGGGCTTCATTACCCCTGCATCAAGCAAACAGGGCAAACAGCCAGAAGTGACTCAAATTCAAATGCATCTGAATTGGCTTTAAATAACTCTCAAATATTACTTTAAAAAAAAAAAGAGAGAGAGAACCTACGCCTCTCTTAGAAACGGAAGTCAAAACAGAGGAGGAACGAGTTCGGAGCAGTTGCAGCACTCCCCCTCACAGAAACCCATTATTCCGGCAATGCACAAGAAAAGCTGTAAGCAGGGGAAAATGCAGATGAATTTCCTGTGAGAGCTGACCCCAAATATTAAGTGCACTCTCACTGGACGCTTTTTTTTAAAGCTGTTTGTTCATTCTGAGCTTGAATTCAGGGACGTTACATGCTGGCATCCAGTTCAAAACTTTCCACTTAATACAGGACAGGCTATCAAAATTGTGATTAGTTACTAGAGAGACTGAACTCAACGCTGTAAAAAATTGAGTTCTGGGGTTTCAAAGCACATAGGTGCACTAGGTTGACAAAATCACACACTGGACACCATATGCCACTTGTTTACATACAAGTCAGTCCTGATCCCTTCATTGACCAGCTGTAAGCCATTATTGACAAGTGGGGCACAGAGGTAAGGATTGAGGCTTACAGAGGCCACAAAGGCCCTATTCAGTGCTTTCGGTGCCGGGGATTTTTTCATTCCTCTGAAACCTGCACCTTAAATCTCTGTTGTATGTTGTATGAAGTGTGCTGGCCTGCAATGGGCAAAAGATTGCACTTTAAGTGATGATCAACCAGCTTGCTGCTGCAGCTGTGGAGGATCACACCCAGCATCATTTAAATCATGTCCTCGTTACCCAGGTAACAAGTGGAATTGCAGCAAAAAGTCTGCGCCTAAGGCAGCTGCCCCCTTAAGAGCTCATCGAAACCCATGGCAAATGCCGACCCATCACACCCGGTGACTATTCTTCCAAGCACAAACTTGTTGTCATATGCAGCAACCCTAGGGAAAGGACTTGAGAAGCCTGGACCTAATACCCGAAGTCCTAATCTGACGGTTACGGCGAATGTGCCTTCCGTAGCTCCACTGGTTACTACAGTAGAAAGTGGAGACTCTGAGGATGTCTTCTCCACCACTTTAAAATGCCTAATTGAGATCTCCTGTGATCCTACAGGCATATTCTACTTCAAGCCTTTCAAAGAGCCCTGCTGAAGCTTAGGCAGGCAGAAGCCCTGATGATGGCCTTTCTCCTATATGAAAGCTATGTTATGCTTTCTAACTAGAACAATTTGGCTATTTTTAGACCAGTGGATCCAGTTGTACATCTCTTTAACAAGAGCCTTTCATAGTAGTCGCACGCGACTACACTTAACTTCTTAACTGTTTTTTTCTCCCTTCATAAAAAGGCAGCTACTTACCTGTTCACACCTCTCTAAGGGGTTGATTGCTATCTGGCATTTTATAAGCCACAGTGAATAGGAGCCAAAATTCTACTCTTCCAGTCAGCTAATCGACTGACCTTGTGTTAGCAGACTCGACTAAGGCTTCCCCCCTTTCCACAGACTCCGAGTGCAAACAATGTCAGTTTATTGACCTTGCGACCGCTCCCTCTCCATGTTGCTTGTGACTTCTAGTTTTGTTTTAATTATGATATCAAGAATCAAGGAATTACATTTGCAGCCTTTTAAATTTTCAGAATTTCTGAATGATGTTTCCCCTTCTAAATTGATTCTGGTTCTTATGTTTTGATACAAAATTTAATTAAAAAGAACTTCTTTGATTTTTTACTTTATTTCTCATGCAGAAGGCATTATCTCATGTAGATATTTTATTTTAGCTTTCAAAATTTTTACCCTATTTGACCAACCCTTCTTTTGGTGTAATTTATTTTTATCTTTGATGATGTAGAGTTGGGCATGGCTACAGGACCAGATGGATCAAGGAAGTTTAATAAATAAAACTTTCTTGATCCATCTGGTCATGGGTTGCTAAGAGACCGGCCCACTACCCCTCTCCAGCTAATACCACTGATGAAATGTGACACAGATTTTAAACAGCATGAAATGAGTTGCCCATTTCTGTCATCCAAGCCCAGTTTGACTTCATGTCTAACCAGGTAAGGGCTGTTTTAGCTGACCTGGGGTGACAACTGTTTCTACTAATTTCGCACCCCTGTAACCCCCCCCAAACTGCTTACAAATTTAATCATTTTGTCTTCATGCCATACTGTTTAAGTGCAATAAATATCTTTTCGTGTTTGCTTTCCTTCATGGTGTTGGAATTTTAATGGCCAGCAGCGTAGAAAAACATAAAACACCAAATAAGGTTAAGACAATTAAAAAAATTACAATTAAAATTAAACTTTCTACCCCTAAACAAGCAATTCGGTTAGCAAGCAAGAAGGCAGATTTTTTCCATGCACAAAACTAAAAGTTTCCTTTTTGTTTAACTCGAAAAAAGCCACAGAATGTACAGAAAGACTTAACTCATTAGCCACTGGTGTTACGTTGACGCAATGTTCAAAATAAATGCTTATATAAATATA